GGGATGAGGGATTCTTCTTTACACCAAGTATTGGCAGGCAAAAGGTGGCTTTCAGTTCAGGATGTGTTACATGCGCCTTCTTGAAACGTAAGCCCTAGTTAAGTCAAACACAAGAATGGTTGAGTCCAAAATATTAGCACTGATGAGTAATGATCTTTTTTGCTTATCTTTTCCAATAGTCTCCCCCCCAAAAAAGAAAAAAAAGCATGGATTAAATATCAAATCTTAAGGCATCAAATAAAAATACTTACAATTAATTCGAGACTAAAAACCTGATAGTTAAAGGATAAACACAACTTCCCCTATTTTTTTTTTTTTAAACAATAAGACAAGGATTGGCATGTTAAATGACTTGTTCCCAGGTTAAATGGTGTGTGGATGGAATCATACTTAAGCATCCCGATTCCAAGTCTTTGTATACCTCATCTAATTTAGATGATGGAAAAGCAGATGGGTTGCCAACTTTCACTGCATTGATAGAGCCCAGAGACAAGAGGCCACAGTCACCTAGATACAGTTTTTAGGAGTGTAGCACTTTAAAAATCACAATACTTTGCAATCTCTTAAATTTGATGTTTACCTATATAGAGGTAGGCGGAAAATGATACTATGTAAATCAAGTTCTTACTAAAGGACTCATTAATTAAGCTGGTTAAGAAACTTACACCATCAGAATGCCACCTGATTATAATTCACAATATGAAATATATCTGAAGCTACAGAAAGCCTAGAACAGCCTGACTGGTATATTTTCTCCCTGTAGAATTGTTAAGGTTACCAAAATGTATTTAGAAGATTATGACTATGAAATCAAAACAAGGGGAGTCCAGGGATGGGTGAATGTCCTGTAAATGACCAGATACTTAGGCTTTCCCAGACATATGGTCCCTGTTACAACTACTCAAACTCTGCAGAAAAAAGTAGCCATAGAGAATATGTAAATTCTGAACTAGCATGGCTTTGTCCCAACAGAACTTTATAGAAACAGGCTGACAACATTTTTAATCTATTAAAAATTATTCAGGTTGAGAGCTACAATAACACCACTAACTTCCCTCTCTGGTTATTTGTTTTTGTAAGTAGGCTGGATATCCCTTTGGGAGAGTAATTCAGTCTGTTTAAAGGCGTTTGCAAAAATGTAACTTCAGTTATATTGGGGGCAGGTTGGTTTTGACCATCACTGTTGACAACAGTCAGGTCCCACTTTTATATTATTTTTTCAATGATTGCATACTGTTTTCAAAAACATTAAGAGACTTCCCTTACTAAACCAAAACTGACTTAAAAGAAGTCCTGCTCAAGTTTTCAAATGTTCTCATACAAGTGTCAAACATATAGATCACCTATTGAATGAGTAAAATGACTTCATGTGGAAAATGATCCTAATATGTCATATTTAAAAGTCAAGATTCACGGACAATGTAATGAAAATTCTTTTTTCATCTTAATGTAATGAAAATTCTTTTTTCATCTTAAATCTCTTATGAAGCTGAAGACAAGATTCTTGACAGTAGTGGAGAAGTACCAAGCAATCCCTATAAATGTCTTAAAAATAGCCTGAAAACGTCTTTCAACCTGTTTCTCATATTAATTTTAGGAATTTCAGGATATTATAATATACTTTATCCAGTTTAACACAGGAACTACTATTTAAGCCTCTGCACTCTTGCAAGGGACTTACCATTGGCCTGATGAATCTTTCATATTTAGGTGGTTTTCGAGTAAAGCCATCTCCAACAAAGCAGACTTTAGTAACCATCCTCTTCCACGCTTTCNCTAACTTCCCTCTCTGGTTATTTGTTTTTGTAAGTAGGCTGGATATCCCTTTGGGAGAGTAATTCAGTCTGTTTAAAGGCGTTTGCAAAAATGTAACTTCAGTTATATTGGGGGCAGGTTGGTTTTGACCATCACTGTTGACAACAGTCAGGTCCCACTTTTATATTATTTTTTCAATGATTGCATACTGTTTTCAAAAACATTAAGAGACTTCCCTTACTAAACCAAAACTGACTTAAAAGAAGTCCTGCTCAAGTTTTCAAATGTTCTCATACAAGTGTCAAACATATAGATCACCTATTGAATGAGTAAAATGACTTCATGTGGAAAATGATCCTAATATGTCATATTTAAAAGTCAAGATTCACGGACAATGTAATGAAAATTCTTTTTTCATCTTAATGTAATGAAAATTCTTTTTTCATCTTAAATCTCTTATGAAGCTGAAGACAAGATTCTTGACAGTAGTGGAGAAGTACCAAGCAATCCCTATAAATGTCTTAAAAATAGCCTGAAAACGTCTTTCAACCTGTTTCTCATATTAATTTTAGGAATTTCAGGATATTATAATATACTTTATCCAGTTTAACACAGGAACTACTATTTAAGCCTCTGCACTCTTGCAAGGGACTTACCATTGGCCTGATGAATCTTTCATATTTAGGTGGTTTTCGAGTAAAGCCATCTCCAACAAAGCAGACTTTAGTAACCATCCTCTTCCACGCTTTCTTCTTTCTCTTTCCTGTTCGAATAACTTTTAATACCTCTGTTTCTCCCTGGGCACGAACTTTGGGCAGAGGGACTTCCCATTTTCCCGCTTTCTCTTTTCGTTTTTGTTTAATCATATTGGAAAGTACTTTAGCTCGGGACTGTCCCTCTCTGTCCAGTAGATATGCAGGTACTGCTCCTTGTGGAGTCTTTTCATCATTCTTTTGTTTGGTGTTTCTCTTTTCATGCATCTTGATACTACCAAGAAGGAAAAGGATTCAAGATTATTTTTAAAAAGTCATTGGAAATACGTTAACTTGCTACAACAAAGGATCACTTACGTCTTTTTCATCTGTATTTTCTCAGCATGGCGTTGTTTATGGTAGAGCTTAGCTTTGAGACCAATCATCTTTTTTGCCTTCTTTGAACGTTCATGAGCCTCTCGACCTTCCTTTTTTCTTTTTTTCTCATGGTAATCCAAACGATAGCCATAGCGCTTACGGTGCAACTCAATATGTTCATTTTGTGGCNGAGCCTCTCGACCTTCCTTTTTTCTTTTTTTCTCATGGTAATCCAAACGATAGCCATAGCGCTTACGGTGCAACTCAATATGTTCATTTTGTGGCTATAAAGATCCAAGAAACGTTTAATTTCTTTTGAGCAGCATATGAATATATAGAAGACTTTTTGTCACTCACATGTTCTCTTGCTAAAATAACTCTTGCAGTATTAAGCCTATTCACATGATATAAGTTAAAGAAATTTTTATCTGGATGCTATGAGGCTTCAGGATCTACATTTGTAATTTCAGGGAAGTTACTGTTCACTGAAGGGAACTGTCCCAAATCCAATGAGCCAGAAAAGGGATGATCTGATTCAGGATCTCTCCATTTTCTGAACATCAGTAATCTAGTTTTTCAATAACATCATCATTCATACTTTTAATTTTAAAAAATTTAAGTCAGTATTATTGAAGTACGATTTCAATTTACAATTAACTGTACCTTTTGGGATATAGATATACAATTGTACGTTTTGACAAACTATACAGTTGTGTAAACCACCAAAATCAAGATAAAGAATATTTCCATCCCCCAAGAAAGTTGCCTTGTGTCAATCTGATGTCAGTCCTCTTTTCCCAGTTCCTATCTGCTATCTATCGCTCTAATTTTGCCTTTCCCAGAATGAAATGTAAATGGAATCTACAGTATGTAGCCTTTTGGATCTAGCTTCACTTCGCAAAATTTTGCGATTCCCCCTCATTGTTGCATCTATCAGTACTTGACTCCTTTTTACTGCCAAGTAGTATTTCCATATATGGGTATACCACTGTTTATGCACTGACCAGCGACGGATGTTTGGGTTGTTTTCAGTTTTTAGCAAATAAACGTGCACATAACTTTGTGTGGACATATGCCATCTGCTTTCCAAAGTGGCTGTACTATTTTGCATTTCACCAGCAATATATGGGATCCCCTTTTGCTTTTTAAGTGCCTACTTTCTTTTATACGCCAATTTTGTATTAGTTTTAACACGCAGCTCCATCCATTTGGATTTTAAGACTGCAAAATAAAATGATACACAGCTAACTCCAGCAAGGAGAATAATATAAAGTAACAACAACGTACTACGTGTCAGGTGGTGTTTTCAACTGCTGTCACAAATTTTGCAGCAACCATGAGAAAGGTAAGTGGAATGTCATTTTGCAGAGGAAACAGATGAGATGTAATAGAAAGGATCTGGTAGTCAGATCTGGGCTGTAAGCCCGGCTACGCAATTCATCAGATGCTTGGCTCGTGGCAAGGCATGCCTTCAGTTTCCTCAGCAGTAAAATGAGGTGATGGATTAATGCCTACGGTATATGGTTATCACTAGGTTCTGGCACGGAAGGCCAAGTGACGAAAGCAAGAATTTAACAGACTGAACCTGTGTCGTTTCAAAGCCTGTGCTCTGACAAATACCCCATTTCTGTGTCCCCAATGTGAAGTTCTTTTCACCCCACCGAGCCGATCCCTCGGAGTCTACCCTCATTCCCTTCAGCAGTACCTCACTTCCGTCTTACCACGGCTCACATCCCGCCCCAGCGCCCTGGGGCCCCCGGACCCCACCAACTCAGACGCCCTAGGTCGCAAGCGCCCGAGAGATCCTCCTCACCATGGTTACGACCGCCCAGACGCCAGGCGCAGTCCCCGCGGCGCGAAAAAGCTCTCAACTTTCGGGTCTCAGAAAGTCGCGAGCCTTCTCCACGCAACTGGCGACAGGAAAGAGAGACTTTTGAAACGACCGACTCCACCAAAAGCGCGACGCATCGGTTCCGAGCCTCTGTACCCTTCTAGCGAGAAGGGCGGAAGTTGTTGGAAGGAGGCATTTGAGTGGTGCACCGCCGGAAGTGATGAGGCGCGGCGTTCAGAATGGACAGAGCGCTGAATATCTAGGTTGTCTTTTGGAGGTACCTGGGCGTTCGCTGGAGTAGGCGAACGTTGCGACGGCAGGCCTCTGCAGACTTTGGGGAGGCCCGCACCTCCTGCTGTCAACAGGCAGGCAGGAAAAAGCCGGACTCCGGCATGCGACTGAGTACCAGGTGGGTACCTAACCGCACCGTGCGACTCCCGCGTGCCTAAGACTCTGCTCCGCCTTGGACACCGCAGACTTTCAAGGATGCAACAGTCCTTCTTATATTATCAGGTGTTAAACAACTTTTATTGAGCACTTATGTATTCTCCAAAGCCTAAGGAGTTCTGGGCTTTATAGAATAACTCACCTGGTAGCACCAATAGGAAACCATTTTCGTTGAAGCACATTGACCCATAGGGGAGAATAAGTTAGAGGGCCATAAATGATTATAGGTCAGAAAAATTGAGGCGTTGCGCTAGGAACTGCTGGTAAAAGATCCCTCCTTTTGGGGAGCTCACAGTAGTGGAGGTAACTTGTAAAGACTATATTTGTAAGTTCCAAGTGCTATAAAAACATAGAGAAGGTAGTATTGAGACTTTATAGGAAATTAGGAAAGGCTTCCAAGCTAGGACTTGAAGATTGAGTAGAAATTATCAGGTACGGGGCTTTGGGAATGCTAGGACTGCTTTCAGGCTGTAGCACCATTGCACGCAAAGACGTGAGGTGTCAGAGCATGGTGTTTCGGGGAGTTTTGGCTAGAGCTCCCTTATAGAGTAGGAGAGTTCAAAGCTGTGACGGTACTGGGGACAGATTTGTCATGTTAAAAGGTTTTTAAGTAGGGAAGTGACTAGATAAGGTTGTTTATTTGAAGGATATGTGTAAAGAATGGATTAAAGCAGTATTTTCCACTTGAGTGATTGATTTGAGTACTACCTTTTAAGACTGGTCACATCTGAATGTCACCTGTGCCATTATTTACTTAATATTTTTCCATAAATTAATTAACAGTTTTATGTAAATTTAACTTCATTTTAAGCAACACTTTCTACAAAATCACAGGTTTTGTCGACTATCTTTTCTAATAGTTAGTAAACATTTTTTTCTGTTATCTAAAATAATCACAGGCATTCTCTTTGGGAAACGTGGCATTGGAATAAGTTTTCAAAATTTTTGGTCTATAGGAACCCTTCACATTTTTAAAAATGATTCAGAACTCCGGAGAGTTTTGTTTATGTAGATTATAATTGATATTTGAATATTAGAAATTAAAGTTTAAAATAGTAATTCATTTTAAAATAATAAATCCAGTAAATATTAGTGTAAGCAACATAGTTTTGTGAAAAATGCCTATATTTTCCAAAACAAAAATAATTTAGTTTGAAGTGTTTTACATTGCTTTGTAATTTTGTAAGTCTCTTTTAATGACCTGCTTATAGAAAACAGCTGGCATCTCATATCTGCTGCTACGTTTAATATGTTACTGTAGGATTTTTTATTTTTGGTTGTGGTGTATAAAGAAAATTCAGTCTCATATATACATGTATATGTGGTTGGGAAAGGGAGGATTATTTTAATATTTTCAGAAAATTGTGGACTATCTTAGATGCTATACCAGGTTTTGACAAGTGGTTAAAGGTTAGTTGTAATGTGGAATCAAACCATATCCGTGAGCTTTTTGTATTCTGTTGTGTTAGAATCCATTGTTCTATTTTAGAATAGATATTAATGCATGATTTTGCAAACATACTGAAATTTGGCATTAGAAGTGAAGAAGAGGGAATGGATTCAACATGTATTTAGGAAAGAATATCAAAAGGATTTGGTGACTTCGTGAATATGGGTAGTGAATGTTTCTGTCTTAAGATACAGAAAAAAGTAGAGTTAGAAGGAATAATAATGAGTTTGACATGGCTTCTTACATAACATGGTGCACAATGGTGTAACATCTGTTTACTTGTCTCTCCCACGTTCAGTCAGATGCTTTGATGTATTTTTCATAACTTTGATAGTGTACTTGAAACATAGTGAATATTTATTAAATACTTTAAAACTAAAGATGCTTAGTTTCTATAATTATAAAAGAGGACTTGCTTCTGTATATTTTACATGATTTTATTTTTACATATTTATGGTAGAAAAATCAGAATATACAGATAAACCAAAAGGTTATACTGCCAATGAGAAAATACCAACATGTAGATAGATGCCTAACTTTCAATACTTAATTCTATGCATTTACGTTAAAATTTTGGTTGGTAAGATATATTTTTGTAATTTCAGTAAATCTTTCTATGATACCTTCATATCTTGCTTGAAGAATTAAAGTGTACTGAAAAAAATTAGGGACATCTGAAGCTTGAGAACCATATTTCTCATCTTTAGTCAGAATTTTCATTTTCTGAGTAGTGTGTTTGCTTTTGATAGCTAAAAATATTGTTCCTATTTTTTAAAAGTAATACATTTTACCACATATATTACATATGCCTTTCTTATATGTCTTACATGTAATAGTTAAACTTTGTATATTTCTTTTTCAGAGAATAACAGTTTAGAGGGCCAAGATGTTGTCCGTCTTGAGGATATTTGCAGTGAATCATAAGAAAATGTCCAGGTTGCACATTAATGTAAGCTTTTCTTGTAAAATTAAATGTACTTCAACAACTTCAGTTTCTTTATGCCCCCAAAGGCATAGTATATACTAGTATATTTACCTGCAGTGGTTTCTTTTTTTCTTTTAAGGTTTTATTGGGGAATTGGAGGGGAACAGCGTTGGGGAATTGGGGAAGGAGAACAGACAGGTAGACAAATTGCTGTTTTGTTCTTCAGTCTAGTTGTGGAGGACATCGCTTCACTGGCCCATGTTGGTGTTATCATTGCGCTCTTCCCAGGTGAGGCAATCGGTTGCCAGTCCTTGGTCGGCCGCTCACAGCTGCTCACGGCAGGCAGCTCTTGCTGGCTGTCGGCCGCTCATGTAGCTCATGTCAGCCCACTGCAGCCCCGTTGCAGCCTACGCCATCGCCAGCAACTCACAGCAGCCCAGCTCCAGGTCGAGCTGTTGTTCATCATCTTAGCTGTAGAGGGTGCAGCATCACTGGCCTTAATGTAGGATCCGAACCTCGGCCCTGCTGCTGAGAGCTGGTGTTCCCAAGCGAGCTCTTAACCAACTGAACCATTCACCCGGCCCTGCGGCAGTTTCTTAACAGGGAGTATGGGAGAACCTGTAACCAAGAAGAAGCATGCTGTATCATTAGTTTATACATTTATTTTGCTACTTTAAAATCATCTGTGCAGCATTTTGAAGAATACCTATTTATGTATTTCATTTTGAGGTCATTAGTGGCCCAAGGACTTACACGGTTCTTCTTCAGTGTTTTCATTGGTGATGCCTTCAGATTATACACCCTGTGACAGGTAGATACTGTCTTACATTGGTCATTCTGCAGGGGAAATTTTGATCACTTTGAGTCTCTACTCCTGAAACATTTTCTTAGGATAATAGTGTTTTATTGCCAGAAGCTTGGTAACTAATGTAGAAATAATATAGAAGGCACAGGCATGCATTCCATGATAACATAAAAGGCAGATGTGGCAGCTCAAAAACCTTACATACACTAACTGTAACACTTCCAAATATATTGTCAGCCATTAAATACATATCTAGTGGTCTAGGAATAAATTGGTATGGAGAATATTAAGACTCTGGGGGAACATTTGGAGAAGATGCCTGAGGAACTTTTAAAATGCCAATCCCTTCCTTCACTGCAAATGTTTTTTAAAAAGCTTTCCAGGTGATTCTAATGTATAGCCACTGTCATAAATCCTGAAAACAGCTGATGGTTTTAGAGTCCATGACCCCTACCAGCTCTTAGCAGCTGTAGAGGAGAACCAGAGAATATCCAGGGTGAGAGACCTTTTTAACCTTTATGACTCTCTCTGGAAACTTCAGGATCTTCATTCTCAAAGTGTAGCTCTCAGAATCATATGGAGGGCTTGCTAAAACACAGATTGTTCGACCCCCTTCCTAGAGTTTCTGATTCTTTTGTTTGGGGAGTGGGTCCTGAGAGTTTGCCTTTCCAGCAAGTTCCCTCTGATGCTAATGCCATAGGTCTAGGAGAACCAGCACCCAAGGTCAGCTCTAAATAGCAAACCAGTACTAATTTTATTCTTTTTCTTTCCTGTAGTGTAATTTGGGTTGGCACTTTTTAAAAGAATTGGAGTTAACAAAGAGACTACTTTAAGGAGATTCAAAGTATTTTGTCCTCTGACAAAACATAGTTATGATGTTAAAACTACTGTAATAAGTCATGCTAAGGTAAAATTAATGTCATTTCTTTTTCTCCACTAGAATATGTATTGCTCCAAAATAAGAGCAAATTTAAAAAAATTAAAGCCACATGTGTCTATTGGAAGACATTACAGTTCCCTACCAGGTAATACTGTTAAATTCTTCTCATTTACTTAAACTGCTTGTTTGCTTTCTTCCCTCTCCATCTTTCCTCCTCTCCTCCTCCTTTCTTTCTTCCCCCCAATCCCCCATTTCTGTCTCATTTGTAAGCATCTCCCTTATTAGGGAGTGGTCTCCAACCAAATAGTGGCTCCTTTTTTTTTTTTTTTTAAGATTTTATTGGGGAATTGGAGGAGGGAACAGTATTGGAGAATC